GATCTAGGGGAGATAATACACCTATACTCACAACTAGTCAGTTATAGTATAGAATAGCAATGATCTAGGGGAGATAATACACCTATACTCACAACTAGTCAGTTATAGTATAGAATAGAAATGATTTAATGTTTTCGTCACAACATTAAGCCTATTGGCAAGGGGTAAAATTGTTGTTCTCCAAACATATATGTATGTCCCCAATGACCTCTATGTCCTACATCAAAATTTCAATTTAAAGCTCTTGTATATCAGATTTAAATTCTTCCATACAAATTAACAGCTGTAAATAACCGATTTACCGTTATCCTGTAGGGGTGATAACCGACCTAAAATGTCAAAATGCAATATACAACTGTAGACAACAGTGGGGCCCAGAAAGGACATATTGGCCATGTGCCCTTTTTTTGGCCCCACTCTGCAGCCATCAGGTGGGTCACACACCTCCATTTGTACTATTTTGAATCACCACCACCTGAGAATGCTTCCAACCAAATATGTTTGATATCCTTCTCTTAGCTCTAGAGAAGCAATATGGCCTATTTCCCCTTTTTGGCCCCGTCTAATCCCCGGGAGGTCAGTCCCTTCATCTGTACAGCCTTGCACCCCCACCAGCTCGGGACTTTCCAGTTAAATTTGGTTAAGAAGTCCCTGTAAGAAGTTGTTGATAGACGGATGGCAAACACCATGGTACAACATAGCTTCTTTGTACAATGTGAGCGAAATATTATCGCATTTATATTATACATTACTGAAATTGATTTAATGTAACCAACTAAATAATAACAAGCTAATAACTAAATTGTCAAATGCAAAAAGATTTAATTTTCAATTTCATGAAACAACAATACGTACATTACTTCAATACGTAAATGTGATGTAATACGTATAACAAAGACCTGACACAGACAGTTACAGTGTGACACGGGTTATATCTAGTCAGACCTGACACAGACAGTTACAGTGTGACATGGTTATATCTAGTCAGACCTGACACAGACAGTTACAGTGTGACACAGGTTATATCTAGTCAGACCTGACACAGACGGTTACAGTGTGACACGGGTTATATCTAGTCAGACCTGACACAGACAGTTACAGTGTGACACGGGTTATATCTAGTCAGACTTGACACAGACAGTTACAGTGTGACACGGTTATATCTAGTCAGACCTGACACAGACAGTTACAGTGTGACACGGGTTATATCTAGTCAGACCTGACACAGACAGTTACAGTGTGACACGGTTATATCTAGTCAGACCTGACACAGGGAGTTATAGTGTGACACGGTTATATCTAGTCAGACCTGACACAGACGGTTACAGTGTGACACGGTTATATCTAGTCAGAAACAAAACAATTCCTCATGACATCAACAATACTGCTTAATTTCAGTACGAAAGTTGTGGCTTTGTACCGGCATGGTTTTAATTTCATGAATCACCGGTAGAGTGAAATATGTTCATTTCAGTTTTGGATGTAATTTCTTCAACAGTCATTGAGATTACATTCAATTTGTTTTCCTATTTTATTCTTTTTCTTTAAATTTTTAAATTGATCCATTAAAAAAATAAGCGGCAAACACTGGAAGTCTAAAATCAACTTTCAACAAAGTTTAAACAAGAGTTACGTGTTAAGTTTTTCACTTTTCTTCCTAAGATTTCAAACATTTGACAGAGGTAAAATTTTCAGGGTCTTGATATGAATTATCAAACACCTCATGGAAACAAGTAATACTAAAGAAAAGGTTTGTGCCAATAACACAATATTAGTTATTAATATAGAAAATATTTCAGCCTTCTAAATCAACCACCAATAATATCGTTTCGTAATGAAATTAAAACACAAAGTTGGTAGTCCTCTGAACAAGTTCTATTAATCATCTTTAATACAGCCATAGGCTTCAGAACATGTTTTATTAAACGTTTTTATAGTCCTATTTCAATTAAAACCAAAATGATTAATTTGAAGGGTTTTGACAAAAACTATTTTTTAAGGATTTCAAAAATGCTTGCCAAAGTAATATCAAAGTGAAAAAAATAGCACAAAAAATAGCCTTACCTCATTGCTTCTCTGATAAGCTAAACCTGTGGCAGCCTGGAAATACATTGTCGTTGTGGAATAGGCCTGCAAACGTTAATGCAAATACCGAAAGTCTATTCCAAGACTCGCCCGACAGCAACAAAACATCACTAGATCATTCCCTATTTGCCTAACAAACAACTCTGGTCCCAAAGTTAGGAACCAAATTACCGAACAACTCATGTGTTTACATACAAAAAAAATTATCCATAGTCATATAACATATAGTCTTTAAAAATAAATAGATTTTCATTTCATATATATGTAGCACAAATATTACATATTTTGCTTTCAATTAAATTATGTATTGCAATTATGTACATGTGGTATTTAAAAATATGCAGTCATATGATCCTGAATTCTCAAAAAGGATAAAACAATAATACCGGGTAAAAAATGTTATCAAAATCAATTTAATGCTGTTTTTTAGAACTGATTTTTAAACTTCATACGCCAGTAGCAGCTGAGAAAGGTTCAAACTAAGTAATGCAAGGCAAAATATTTTCTCTTACCCTGGACAGGGATATCCACCATTTTACCGGTGTGAGATTTTCTTATCTCACCCTAGGGTTGAGACAAGGTATACGTGTTCTTTGCACGTTCTCAAAAATTGTATGACGCCATAGCAACAATACCATTACATCATGGCAACAATACAATGACGTCACGTCGACAAATCAGCCGCATCACATCAACATTATCTCGCATTGATGTAACGTCTATATAAAAAACAAGGGTAAACAGGGTAAGAGAAAAATAGTCATTCACCCCCTTGGGAGTGAGACAGGGTGATCTCAACCCTCAAGGGGGGGAAAGATTCTATTAGTCTATTGCTTTTACAAATATTTCTTGTTCCTAAGAATTGAACATGTATTCATTTTCAGGACTTATGATGTTGTAACACAAAAATCTTTTGTTTTGTAAAAATATTTGACATGCCACTTTTTATGTTTTCTTTAACGTTAAAAGAAACAATCCTAAAACTAGTCACTGAAGTTGACATAAAACTATATCCGTTAAAAACAAACTAACAATTTGAGAGTTTTAAAACATCTGTGACTCCACCTTATTAGTAGATGTGTAGATTCCTAAAATTAATTACGGTATACCAGGAAATGTTCACCCAGACAATCTTTCGCCCTTCGTCGCTAAATCCATATTGGCCCAGTTTTAGTTTCGCCCTTCACATTTAATATCTGTATGTATGTTGTTAGCTAATGTTTGCTGAAATGATAAAAATAAAGAGGGCGAAAAAGGCCAAAATTAAACTGCAGCAAAAATTTCCCAGTATACAGTACTCCTACGAATCAATTCAATGAAGTACTTTCACAGGATTGGCGACTCAAAAAACAGCTGGATTTTCTAAATAAAATACATTTTAAAACGTTTGGTTAAAAAGACCTTCCATTGGTTCATTAATTCCAAGACATTCAAAACCTCAATATAACCTCTAACCTCAATATAACCTCTAACCTCAATATAACCTCAATATAACCCCCTGTTGAATGTGCCACACCACCAACAACTTCTAGGATCAAACGTTTTAAAGCTTAAAGATTTCATTTCACTTTGTGAACAATCGTAGCAGTATGATAAAGCGGCAGTTTCAGTCAGGAATCAGATATTTATAAATACAAAATGTATCCCAACATCAAACAGATTAACCTTGTACACATTTGCATACCAAACAATTTTTATATGAATTAAGCACATGATCAGATAAGTAAAAGCCTTTCAAATGACAGATGGGACACTATCCTTTTCAACCATGATCAGGACGGATAACAAATTGATGCATGAAGGGAATTTGAAGGATTTTCCTGGGTCAAATTAAACATAACAGACAGTTAAGTACCGCAGGCTTTTTGTTTGAGATGATGTTCATTTACCCCTGAAGACACATTTGAACTCTTCCAATTCAAAGGTTGGAATAGTTCATTATGAAATTTCAGGGATGAATAGGTTAAGGACAACTGCCATGTGGAATGCATTGTCAGTACTGTAGAATATCTGTCTGTATTCCAATAAACTCATTCACAAGAATTTGAAGTTTGATAATAATACTGATTTTACAAGAATTTTATTTTACAATTAACTTAATGAAACAATTTGTAAATGTCATCCAGATCGAATTAAGTATTTCAGTTGACTTAATTAGCTGTTGATATCCAATACCAAATCCTCTCGGTCAACGGGTGATATACAGGAAGTTTGGATGGTACTATCGTCAGATTGATCAGTAGCAATGATGAACAACTATTGCACTGTTTCCTCAGATCTCTTAACAATTAAAACAGTAGAAATTATTATTTAGTTCTTGGTTGGTTTTGATACCACTATGAGGTATGGCGTAACAACAACTGATGAGGTGTATCCTATCATGGTACATTGTATGGGGAGTCATTCCAGACAAGCTGAGTTTTTGTGAGATTTCCTGGTCACAGTCACATGAAATATAAAATTGTTGATCTTAATATAATGTAGTATGTTAATTGAAACACTGGTAATAATCAGTGTAAGCAAAGTTGTTAAATAATGCTTGCAATATTTTATGACTGTTGGTACAAGTTTTGTTTAACCACATAAAATACAAATGGCCTAGAACATTACTTACCTCATCAAACACTTCCGAGACTTAGATTTTGTATGATTTCAAGTTGATAAACATCATAAAATATATATGGCATATCATGCATGTGTCAAAAAATATATAAAGCGATATGAATCAAACACTTTTGAGACTTAGATTTTGTATGATTACATGTTGGTCTAACAACATTGAATATATATGGCATAGCATGTGTCAAAATACATATAAAGCGGTATGAATCAAACACTTTTGAGACTTGGATTTTGAATGGACAGAATTTTTCCTGAGCTGATATGTGTAGAACTGGTGACTTAGTTTAATGAAGGAATGCTGAATACGGATGTTAGCTGCCTTGATGTTTGGTCTTCCACACGTAAACCAGAACTCATACCCATGATACATGTCTACAGGGATCGTTACACTTCAGTTCACATAAAGTAGAATAAACATACATCTCATCTCATTCTTTATCCTTATTATTCTTGTAACAATAAATACTACAAAGTTCCTACAACTGTATTTTAGAAAACGGAAAATGTTTTCTAAGGTAAAAAATAATTTTCCATTTTAACACAGTTTCATAGCACAGTAAACCGGACAGATCTACCAAGAAGACTTTGGAAATGTCCCCCTTATATGTCAATTGATAAACATTAATTAGCACTTCATGTCATTGTCCTGAGACAGCAGATCGGAGGCGGGTTTGAAACAACAGCCTCTTTCTCGTCGTTGTACTCGGTACCTTCTCACATTCTGTGACCTTGGCCTTCAAGCTTTTGGCATCTCCACTGGATGTTACATTTCTCTGTCTGTTATGAAAAATATAAACAGAAATGTAATCAGGATCCTCTCTCGTGTCACCATTAAGTTTCACAGAAAAAAGGACAATATTGAGATACTGATAGTGAGGTGCTAAATGTAGTACTACTAAATCAGAAATTTTGTGCCTGGAATTTATCACATTTGACTTTTCTATAATTATTCATCGTGTGTATGTTTTCTTGTGGCGACAATGACTTTTCTCAACAAAAGTGTGTCAATATCTTTGCGTGTGCATATTTTAAGAATGGATTTAATGAGATTTAGTAATGACTTGACCTTTAACCCTGAGGTGAAGGTCACCGTAACCTAAATGCAGCGCACTGCATACCTTCTCTGGCTGATACTAGTAACTTTAACTTTTATCACGACAACCTCAATGGTTTGAAATTGACAGCCCAGACATGAATAAACGAAAATTTGGAAAAATATTTGATATTTGAATTAGAGATTAATCGAGACCACCATGACCCAAGTACGGTACACGCATTGATCCTGAGGGGGGTGGGTGTGTGTGTGTGAATACGGTACACACACCGATGCTGAGGGTGTGTGAATAAGGTACACACACCGATCATGAAGGGGTGGGGGGGGGTGAATACGGTACACACACCAATCCTGAGGGTGTGTGAATACGGTACACACACCGATCCTGAGGGGGGTGAATATGGTACACACACCGATCCTGAGGGTGTGTGAATACGGTACACACACTGATCCTGAGGGGGGTGAATATGGTACACACACCGATCCTGAGGGGGATGAATATGGTACACACACCGATCCTGGGGGGGGTGAATATGGTACACACAACGATCCTGAGGGGGGTGAATATGGTTCACACACCGATCCTGAGGGGGGTGAATACGGGACAAACACCGATCCTGAGGGGGGAGAATATGGTACACACACCGATCCCGAGGGGGTGGGAATACAGTACACACACTGATCCTGAGGGGGGCGAATACGGTACAAACACCGATCCTGAGGGGGTGTGAAAATGGTACACACACCGATCCTGAGAGGGGTGAATATGGTACCGACACCGATCCTGAGGGGGGTGAATATGGTACACACACCGATCCTGAGGGGGGTGAATATGGTACACACACTGATCCTGAGGGGGGTGAATACGGTACAAACACCGATCCTGAGGGGGGTGAATATGGTACACACACCGATCCTGAGGGGGGGTGAATATGGTACACACACCGATCCTGAAGGGGTGTGAATACGGTACACACACTGATCCTTAGGGGTTTTGAATATGGTACACACATCGATCCTGAGAGGGGTGAATATGGTACACACACCGATCCTGAGGGGGGTGAATATGGTACACACACGGATCCTGAGAGGGGTGAATATGGTACACACACCGATCCTGAGGGGGGTGAATATGGTACACACACCGATCCTGAGGGGGTGTGAATACGGTACACACACTGATCCTTAGGGGTTTTGAATATGGTACACACACCGATCCTGAGGGGGTGTGAATACGGTACACACATGGATCTTGAGTGGGTGTGAATACGGTACACACATCGATCCTGAGGGGGTGTGAATATGGTACACACACCGATCCTGAGGGGGGTGGGGGGTGTGTGAANACCAATCCTGAGAGTGTGTGAATACGGTACACACACCGATCCTGAGGGGGGGGGGAATACGGTACACACACCGATCCTGAGGGGGTGTGAATACGGTACACACATGGATCTTGAGGGGGTGTGAATACGGTACACACACCGATCCTGGGGGGGGGGGGAATACGGTACACACACCGATCCTGAGGGGGTGTGAAAATGGTACACACACCGATCCTGAGGGTGTGTGAATACGGTACACACACCGATCCTGGGGGGGGGGGGAATACGGTACACACACCGATCCTGAGGGTGTGTGAATATGGTACACACATCGATCCTGAGGGGGTGTGAACATGGTACACACACCGATCCTGAGGGGGGTGGGGGGTGTGTGAATATGGTACACACACCGATCCTGAGGGTGTGTGAATATGGTACACACATCGATCCTGAGGGGGTGTGAATACGGTACACACACCAATCCTGAGGGGGTGTGAATACGGTACACACACCAATCCTGAGGGGGTGTGAATACGGTACACACACCGATCCTGGGGGGGGGGGGAATACGGTACACACACCGATCCTGAGGGTGTGTGAATACGGTACACACACCGATCCTGGGGTGGGGTGGGGGGGTGGGGGTATGGTACACACATCGATCCTGAGGGGGGAGGGGGGTGAATAAGGTACACACATCGATCCTGAGGGGGGTGAATGCTACAGCCTATACAATATATTATCAGAAGTATTTCTATCATACTATGTCTACTGTTAATTTAATGGGGAGAAATAAAAGAATTAATCAGTAGGATGTACCGTCATGATACTTACATTTCTCTGAAGGCATACCGCGTCTGACCCTGGTCAAAGTCCTGTGTTGTGGACAACTTTTCCCAATCCCTGTGTTTGCTCTGTAACATCAAAAAACATATATAATATAATATAATCAGGCCTGGAATCTATTTGAAGTTATTAAATTAGGCCTGGAATCTATTTGAAGTTATTAAATTAGGCCTGGAATCTATTTGTAGAACATTATTAAATAAGGCAAAGTTTGGTTCAACTATAAACAACTTCCTTCAAAGTTCAAAAATTCTTCCCTGTGAGACCGTACAACTTTTTTCTTCCTAATATCTCCCTTGACAATGCCTCACTTTTGGCCTTTAGTCGAGTGTTCGCTTCTGTGAGGAAGGCTTTGGGTTCTGTCCGGTCAAGACATGACACCGGTAAGAATGGTAGTTTCTACTCCTGTTTAACACTCAGCAATTCAGGAGTGGGACGACTGGTTCGCCCGTTGTCAGTATAATGTGACCGGGTTGGGTGTCCTGCTGGGTGTCTTGCGCAGTACATTTCAGTGAGGTAGCACTATAAAGTCAGCATCAGTTCCACACTATCACAAGGAGACACACACGAACATATCACAGCCTCCAAAAATACACACACATACACTACACGCATGAATGTTGCACACAGGGGAGGCCGTCCTGAAATGACCATAGCTGTTGATCATGATAGGACGTTAAACAATACTAAACCAAACCAAACCCTGTGAGAGCATTAACTCTCACAAAAGACATATCAATTACAAGCCCTCAATTACACACTCAACAAGCCTTAAAAAGAATATCCAACACAAAACCTAGAACAAGATATCCGTATGTATCCAACACAAGCCTTCAAACTAGATATCCAAATATCCAACACAAGCCGTCAAAATAGATATCCAAATATCCCACACAAGCCGTCAAACTAGATATCCAAATATCTAACACAAGCCTTCAAACTAGATAACCAACTATCCAACACAAGCCTTCAAACTAGATATTCAAATATCCAACACAAGCCTTCAAACTAGATATCCAAATATCCAATGCAAGCCTTCAAACTAGATATCCAAATATCCAATGCAAGCCTTCTAACTAGATATCCAAATATCCCACACAAGCCGTCAAACTAGATATCCAAATATCCAACACAAGCCTTCAAACTAGATATCCAAATATCCAACACAAGCCTTCAAACTAGATATCCAACTATCCAACACAAGCCTTCAAACTAGATATCCAACTATCCAACACAAGCCTTCAAACTAGATATCCAAATATCCAACACAAGCC